CCCCTTCACCAGCCTATTTACCATTTCCACAGACGCTGGAAACGAATGCATCGCCAGTTAGATCATTTCTTCCAAATGGCAGGGTGGTGTCGTCCATATTCGTGCTGGACCCTGAAGAAGGTCCCACGTCAATGCATGTTGAGCCAAGGCTATCTGTGCTGGTTTGAAGAGGAGTGGTGCATACTCAGTATGTAGCCGCAGCATTTTAAACGCTGGGGAGCAAACACAAATCCACGGCACTTCACGATGGCAATGAATCTTCTCTCAGTGCTATGGAAATCTCAATGCTCAAACGTCCTTTAACAGTCCTGCTTCTTATCTTTTAGCTATAACGTTGTAGAATTCATCTGTATTTGCACTCTTTTCTTTTGGCCCCTCTCCATACAGTTTCACACGTACAGAGCAAAGAGAAACAGGGTTCATGCACCAGCAGAGGGAAAAGTAAAACTTCCTAGACTTGTTTGCAGTGGCACAATGTGCTTCACTGGCATCCTTGAATCATTCATAGTCTACAGTGCATGAAATACTTATTATTATCACTAAACCAAAGGCTTACAGACTAAACTCAAAGCTCACTGAACTCCCTGCAAAAACAGCTCCTGGTAAGATGGACCAGACCATCTCAGGATGCAAAGTTCAGACAGGCTATAGGAAATAGTTCTGCTTTGAGCAGAGGGCACTTTGGATAGGATGCCACAGTGCTGTGCCATGAGATCCATATAACTGCTGAAGAAGGGAGGGAAAGAGCAGCCAGAACATGCAGATGACCCACCTCCAGGCAGGTGGCAGCCACCAGCTCTGGGAAAGCAGAAATCTGCTTTGGTGCCCTGGCTTAAAGAAAGTTGCACTAATGGAGGCTGATCGTTATAGGAACTGATATCAGGAGAGGAGTTGTGGTAATTGAAAACTTCTGCTTTCCAAGGTAGTATTTATAGGAGGCTTTAATGCTCGCTTTGATGAAGTAAGGACTCAGATGCCCTTAAACAACAGAAGGTCTTACAACACATTTACTTTAAAGCAAAATTCCTTTCCAGCTCAACAAGAAGAATCTGGAGGTGAGTGTCTAAGTGCTAGGGTGGTGCTGAGATGTGAGGAAGTCTTCACAAAGCATTACACAATGTCACAAAGGCTGTAGCCCCTCCAGACAGTTCTCATTATAATGATAAAATTAAAAAAAAAACATTATGCAACGTCACGTTATATTTCTTTCAGTGGAAGTGTATGGAAGGAAGTCATTTGAAAGAAAAGCCTTTTCATAAAAATATAAATTTTGTGAAACATAGCACTTTGTACTGTCATGTAGAATTGTTGGGGTTGATTTTATTTCATGTTTGGCTTCCTTTTTGTTTTTTACCATGTTTCATCACGTGGTGAGAACAATACGCTCCACTTTTTGGGGCATAAAAAGACTGAGAGGAGATCTGATCCATGTTTATAAATATCTAAAGGAAAGCAGGAGGCAAATGGATGAGGCCAGGCTCTTCTCAACAGTATGCAATGATAGGACAAGGAGTAATGGCCTAAAACTCGAGCACAGGAAGTTCTGCACTAACATGTGGAAGAACTTCTTTACAGTAAGAGTGACAGAAGACTGGAACAGGTTGTCCAGAGTGTCTCCCCCTATGGAGATGCTCATGACCTGTCTGGACCTGTGTGACCTACTGTAGGGTATCTGCTTTAGCAGGGGAGTTGGACTCGATGAGATCCCTTCCAACAACTGCGACTCTGTGATCTCAAATCATCACAATTTCACTAAAATGTAAGAAAACGATGCTCTGAAAAAAAAAAAAAATCACAACATTGTGTCCCAATCAAAGCCCAGCTGCAGATGCTAGTAGCAACTTAGAAATAATAAAAATAAGTGCTTACACTGTTGCATCACATGACAATTTGTTTTCACTGCAGACAGTGTTACAGAATAATATTGATACGATCAAATAAAAGAGCAAATTTTCAGGAACAGCTTTTGCATGGACATGAAATGTTCAAATGCTGAAAATTGTGAAAATGAAGACTTGTTGGTAAAAACCGTGTGCTGTGAGAAATGAAAGAAACATATGAACCCTTTACTACATCCCACCCACTAATGAAAATGGGCTCAGAAAGGCCAGAAACACCCACAAAACAGTTGACCCCACTTCCTGTGCCTCCTTAGCATTCTGGGCCTCCAAACGGGACCACAGCTCTCAATGCCATAAATGACACTGCACGGGGCTAAGAGCTCAGTGCTTTTAAGGCGACTTCTTAATTTAACTTGCAATTTATGAAGGCATTTTACCATCCTTCAACTCTCATTTTCTCTGAGCAAATGCAGACCCCTCTTTGCAAGATGTCAAATAAATGGATATCGCCAAATTATTAAAATTAAAGGCAAGTGCAGAGTTGGCCAAACAAATTATGGCTGGAAACCAGCTTCCACATTCCCCTAGTGGCTTTCAGATGGTTGTGGAAAGATGCCATCGGAGAAAACGTCGTGTCTGCAAGCATCACCTCACCCTGGTATGTTTGGAAAGCTTATAGAAATCCTGTGCCACAGGGAGTGGGCTGTGTGCAGATCATACATCATCCTGCTGCTTTCTGAGGGGACACTTGAAGCCATTAATCAGTGCTAATGGCAGTCCTGGTCTACCTTGCCCATTGTGGCTTTAATTTTCTTCCCAGTTTCAAAGTGATAGAAGGTGGCTGAGTATGGAGACATAATGGCTGATTCCATCTGTCTGGCCCATCTTAACCAAATTGCCTGAAATGCATCCAGATATTTTCTGAATGCATCTTGCACAAAGCTTTCAGGCAAAGGCTTAGCCAAGCCCCCCGTTAACTCACAGCCTTCAATAAGCATACATCTGATAGGTAACAAGAATGTCCAGCATCTTACCTGTGGTTTTCCACTGATGGGCAGCCAGCTTGGCCAGCACTTTCAGTATTTGGGCATTTTAGTACCTTTTTAGGATAACAATCACAGCACACATGGAGCTCCTGGCCAGGCATTCTCAGACGGGATGATTTGCTGTTGGAAAGATTTGTTGTGCCTTTTACAAACACCAGATGCTCGGTGAAGAGAAAATAAAGCATACTTTCCAGTAAACAAAAGCAGGTTTCATTTGTCTCTAAAGCATAAACAAAATAAACAAAAAAGAAGAAGAAAAAAAGGGAAAAAAGTGCAAAACAGCTTGTACATATGCATCAGGGGGAGAAAGTGGTGAAAGAAGTGAGAAGTGCATGTACCTGGAGACGGATTAATGGGCTCTGTGGTGCAACAATGGTCTCAGAGGGCTGGAGCCTCCTTTCCTCCACACAAGGCTCAAACACTGTGTGGGTTTTCTTTTTCTTGCAGGTTACACTTTGCATGGGACAGAGGGCTCACGCAGAGAAACTGGAAAATGACCCTGAAGGAGCTGATAGGGAACAAAGCAAGTTAAACAAGCAGGGGCTTCCCCAGCAGGAGCTGGGGGAATGGAAGTAACACATACTAGAGGAAATACTTTGAGACTGTGAGATTTACTGCAGCCTTGGTTGGTTTTCATAGCCCAGGGCAAATATTAGAGCATTTCATAGTGCAAAGCAAAACCTCTTCCCTTCCACACTGCTGCAGGAAAAGTAACTGCATTAGATCCTGAGATAAGATTGATGAATGTGATTCACTAAAAAAAGTTGCAATGACTGACATTATAAAAAACAAGGGCAGGCTCTCAGATGGGCTCTTCTCCTCAGAAATACAAGAAATTCAATGAGAGGTGACCAGAATCCTCATCCTGTCTCCTCCAGAGAGACGACCAAGAGGGGACAGGTTTACAGCACACAAATTCAGGGCTTGAGTCCAGCAGCCCTTTAAACAATTCATATTTATCAGGCTGGCATTTGCAGCTCAGACCTCTCCCCAGTGACAATAAATCTCCAGTTCTTTCCAAGCTGCTGCACGGAGATAGCTGCTGACCTATTCCCCAGGAGGGTTATGGGCACCCAGTTGGGACAGCCACAACATGAGCTGGGGCACAGGAAGGAGCCACTTCTGAACTGCAGCAATACTGAGGTTGGATGTGATTTCTAGAATTTCAGATCAGGGTTCGTTTGGCTTTGTTTTGATCCACCACCACCACAATTCCAAACCATTTCATCATTTTCTTCCTCTTTTTGACTTTAGAGGAAATTCTGGCACCAGCTAGGACAAACGCTTCCCAAGAGGAAAGAGCAGGGATCCTAAAGAAAAGTCTGGTACCCTTGATTGGAGACAGCTACAAGGAGTACTGAAAAGTACCCAAAACTCTCCTTGTACCACCTAAAGAATGCAAACTATCCAGGTATGACAGATGGACCCCACTACATCTGCCAATCCCACACCCACCAGAAGTGCTTGCAGCTCAAGCTTCTAGGGAGTTTTCCAATGAAAATATCAGAAAAGGCCAAGTTATAAGAACCGAAATGCTCTGAAGAATTACACTGCCTTCAGAATACTTCCATGCCAGGATAAACTGAGGGGCTACATTTCCAGAGAGGGACCCAAATAAAGCAGAAACAGAAATTAGAGATCTGAAGAGCCTTCTTCAGTATACTTTGAAGGACTAGGTGGAAAGACAAGACCTGTGGGCTGCTCAAAGCAGCAGGGGTGACAGTGCTGCCACGGCATTCCAAGGAAAGGGCAGGTCAGCAATGCTGAGGGTGTGAGCTTGTGAATGAGGATTGGTGGCGAAGATGCACCTGAGAGCAGTTTGCTCTGCATATCCCCGTTGGGCTACGGTTTGATTTGGTTTCCACATCCCTCTTGCAAACTGTCCAGGGGTGACAATGGTACAGGAAACCACCGCTCAGCCTCTGGCTGTAACCCACTTGCAGGAAGCACGGTTCTCCAGCCCCCTCCAGTGGCTACAAAACAGGCTGTGGAGTCAACTAGGGGACCTGGAGTAGGAAAACCAGGAAATAATTCAGGTTTAAGAATATTAGGAAATACGTAGGAGCATTTCTTCTTCCCATGGCGAGGTAAATGATTAGGCACACAGCCAAGCTCTTGCACTGGAACATCTTTATTTAGCTACACACAGACCCACCACAGATATCTCCTATCTGCTCTTGGATCAAGTCTTACTGCTGTGCACAATCATTCTACCCTGGGCAAAAGAAAGGAGCACTGAATAGTGTTCCTTGAAGCAACACTCTTGGCTGTCACCTCTGCTTTGTCCTGGGCAGGTTCCTAGACCCCCTTCTTTAATGGGCTAAAGAGGTGCCGCACCTCAACGGCTGGTTTTGGTGAAAAAAGTGCTTTATTTGAATAAGGAAAAAAAAAAAAAGCAACAAACACTGCAACCTGGTAGATTTCATTCTGCCATTTGCACAACACCCAAATGACAGGAAGTTACATTTGGGTATTACGCCAGCTACCAGCATCTCCTGCTCTCAGAAGTCCCTATAGAACAAAGAAGAAAACCCACAAGAAAAAGACTCTCTTGCATATCTTTGCTTATTCCAGATCTGCTTCAGTTCTTTAACCATTTTCCAAATCTCATCCCACCCCATACTTACAGCAAGGCCACACAATGCACACTTCATACATTATGCACAAATATAACAGGCATTCCTCAGTGGAAGAGATGCACACTGCAGAACTGTTCAGTTTCCCATGTCTCACTTGTTATTCATGTTATCTGAGCACACCTCCCAGACTGCATGGAAAACAATACTTTTACAAAAAAATGCATTGCTACATAGGAGGAAATGGTAAAGTCTGAATTAAGGCAAAAATAAATGTCACTTAGATAGTGTGAAGACATAATATATGCATATTATTACTCAGATTTCATACTGGAAGACTATTGTTTACTGGGTTTAAAGGGACAGGGACAGCCAGAGGATATGTGCTGCGGCCCTGCAGGACATCATAAATCTAATTTGAGATTCATTATTACAACGAAAATTGCAGATATTCTGTGTACCAAACCATTTCATCTAGGCAAAGCTGGGTTTATGTTGCCTAGCAACAAATGTCCACAAGGACTACTCCAGCAGCAGCCTTCACACTTACAGCTTAATGTTACATGAGTTGTTCTCAAGCACTGGACTCTCTTCAGTCCCTCAAAAAGGTCGTCCACTCAGGTTTAAGGCTGAAACCTTGGCAGGAGGCACAGTCCCTCAGTTAAGATGGCAGATGGGTGGGCAGTCCAGCAAAAAGCCTCCTGCACTTCCAAGGTTTGATTGTGCAGACACCCAAGTGCTTGTTGAACTTTAAGCTTGTTTGCTATAAGAGTGTGGGAACCATCCTTTGATCCACAGGGCTCAGGGACTTGAGGTATTCACTGTTAGGGGAATACTTTGAACTCCACACAGGTTGGATTTGGAGACCCATACGGTCCTTAGATGTGAGGTCAAAAGGACCACCCCTATGCACAAAGTTCAGCACACTGTTAGAGCGTCATGATTACTGTACTTCAAATCATAAATAAAGAATGGGAACTAACCAAGGCTGAAGCCCCCACCCTCAGCATAGCTTGAGCTTACCAACAGGACCTACAAAGGAATCCTATCAGAACCTGACAGCCCACGGAAAGAGTGCTTTTCCAACTCACACTCCCATGGCTGGGAGCACAGAAGGAGGGCTACAACTGTTGGCCTGGGTAAGGCTTCACTGGCTGACTATCCACAGGAAGGATGTAGGACAGTGTCAATCAAGGGCACAACAGTCAACAGACCAAATACAGAAGGCAGCTATAATGAAACTTGTAACAGATATACCTGCAGAGGCTAAGCTTTAACTGTGCACTCCAGTTACACTGTGCACTGAGTTGTTTGTTATGCCTCCCCAGAGGAGCACGTGCCTTCCACCTCTATCCAGCTACTTTCTCCCAAAAGGCACTAATGTGTGAGTGGTTTGCAAAACTATGTGAAGAAGTAAAAACTGGAGTGAAAAAGTCGACCCAAAGAAGCTGTTGCCATGGCATTTTCTCTAGACATCCTCCCTCATTTTCTGCCTCTGTACACTAGGGTTAGAGAATATGTTTGGTCCGTGCTCCTGCAAAACATTATGGTTCTACCAGCAAGGTGACAAGCGGCTTTACAACCTGCCTGCATCTTTTAGGCATGTTAACACTTCCATAAAGCAGGCACACAACTCTCAGGCAAAATGCTCATGGGCTGCCCTAGCCTCCCATACGGTGAAAACCTAAACCATCTGCAAGGCTGAAAAGGAAACAGTGCAATACTGCTGCCTTCTCACCTTGAAAGCACGCCCATAGCTACACAGCCTGGCCATTATATCTCATCTGATGAGGATTTTTGAAAGTGTCTGAACAGTGAGTGAGTGTGACCATCGCATTTCAGCCTTTTCTCAACAGTGTAATGCTCAGTAATGCAAATCCTGCCTCCTTATCCTAAGACAAGTGAGCAGAGCAATGTACAAGACTGCTCTTCCAGGCCCAGGCACGGAACAGAAATAAAAGGAAACAATCAAGAGTCTCCATTTCTTCCTGCCCTTCCTCCTTCTGCAAAAGCATCTCAGAAAGATGCTTCAGCAGATAACAAAAACATACAAAGAAGTTCACTGCTGCTTATCAAACTCCACCACAAAAAATATCTCAGTGAGAAGACCAGGAACTGAGCTGTGACTTTGCAGTCACTGGCACATCTGGAAAGAAGCATTTCATAAACTAGTGCTACACCCTATTCACCTTTCTGCTCTTTCTTTAGGTATTTGTAAGCAGGTATCTCCAACTAAAAGACATGCAACTTACCCCTCCTTCAGCAACTGATCTGAAGTGTGCAGCAATTCAAGGAGTGTCTAAGAGCAGAGCACTCATTCAGGGTAAAACACTGCTGGCATAGGCTCTATAAAGGACTGCTTCATTCAGAATCATGCTACCTCCTGATTCTTCGATAAAAGATAAAAAATCCTTTCTTCTCCCTTCTCCACAGTGCTGAGAGAAGCAGGATCAAACAAAAACGCCTGTCAGGTGGATCTGTCTGGTCATGTGAGGTAAGGACTAAAAGGTAGGTAGTAATTTCTATGTGCTCTGCATTGTCAGCTACTTTACTGGGCCTTCAGCAAGGTCACAATAACTGGAATATAGCAAAAAGGCAGTCTACAGATAATTCTTGTTATCTTTTTCTTCATAATCACACAGATATATTCACAGCCATTGCATCAACCACTATCCAGCACTGCAAGAAACAATTTAATTTAGCAGCCCCTCCACTCCTGGTCATTCTTGGTCATTCTCAAACATTCAAACCAATTTTACAGTGAATGGATGAGTTTGGTCATTGCTTTTCCAGAAAGTACCCTAGAAATCTTTCAGGTTCACATTCTGGCTTCGTCTGAGTATCGCAGTCCTTGACCCACCACCACTGCAGCAGTGACTGAACCACAGGGATCACATCATCCCTGCAATGAACTCCGTGCTGTTCAGTTTCCATAGGTGAAAATACTATTTCCTCTTCTGTCTGTATCTTCTCATTTGTGCTACAGCAGTGTCCTGGGCAGTTGGCAGGAGGACTGGCCAACCCTTGCCTCATCCATCACAGTGCTGGAAGGTGAGCTAACGTGCCACAGCAGGTCTGGTGGTCTGTAGAAACGACTCAGATGGGATAGGATTACACATTCTGCTACTCTCCCATCTGTGCAACGGGGCCTCTGGAGGAAGAAAGCCAAGTCAGCAGCTACCTTGCAGCACGTAGAGACATGGATACAATTCTCCAAGTAATGCACAGCACTGGACAGGAAACTTGATGCATTTTACACCAGAAGAGGACAGAAGAAAATACACCTACTTTTACAACAGCAACCACAAACTCCACAGGGAAGAGAAAGGCCAGGTACTGACAGCAGAAAGAGAACAGTGCTGCTGTAATCCCCTTACCAAGGCAAGGAGAGACTCCCTTGCACACTGTAGGAAAATGAAAGGCTTCAGTACAGGAACGTTTGCCACACAAAAGTGCCTCTGAGACACAGGGCGTGTGTAACACGGAGCAATAACAGAGGTAGAGTCGTAACAAACAGACATATGCTAACAGCTATGGGATATACTGTGTTTGCTCATGTAACAGCCACACACACTTGTGACCTTACTGCCCGACCTGCTGCCAGCAGATCACCAGTGAGATAACCAGCAGCTTAAGTGCAGACACACAAAATCATTGCACCCTAAAACTGGAGGGGAAACCCACAGGGGCAGGGAATTATGTGCATTCCATGAGCAAACCAGTATTTTTCTGGGGGCAAAGAATTGGCACCTGGCTTTGTCAACTCACTCGTTTAGCAAATCAAACTGTCCCAGAAAGCAGCCAGTTGCCCTTTAACTGTGCTCATGAAGTAAAAATTGTTTAATGGGGTCTGGGACTGGAAGGATATGGATCAGATCCAGACGAGATTTGCCAAGTATTCTTCGTACAGCTATGCGGCAGAGAGACAACAGGCTCCGGGCGCGGCCTGCAATAAAGAAAGCAGAGAGGAACTGTTGAGGGACAGATGGAGGAAGATAACAGCATGTAAATTGTGCAGAGCTACGGTTGGCAGCGGAGGAGCCATTTACCCCTTCCAAATGCTGAGGCTATGACCTGCACAGCAACACGAAGGCAGTGCAGGAGAGCTGAGTATGCACAAATCCTCCCTACGAAGAGGCCAAACCTTTTGGCCAAGGATTTGGAGCGATCACAGCTGCCACACAGGCAGCTTGGAAGGGTAAAAAGGGCAACTGCAAGGGGTTGTGACTACAGAGCGAGTTCCTGCCAGAGCGGGTTCAAAAGATCACTGCCCAATCCACACCAAGCAAGGCTGTGAGAGACTTTATCCTAATCCAATCATTTTTTAAAAGATGCGGACTTTCTTTTTGCACTAAATCATCCCCTGGGAATCAACAGCACTGATGTTCAGCTCAGGTCTTACCACAGATTTCCTTTGATGGCTTCCATTGAGTTCACGGTGAGCTCTTCCACCACAGGGATGAGAGGATGGTGGCGTCCATGTTGATTCAGGATACCCAGGCTCTCCTGGGTATCCCTCCATTATCCATCATGTTCTACCCGAGGAGTCCCATGTGCCTCCTAAAAACAGGCTTAATGGAAACCACCTGCTCTGCATTTGTGTCTCCTTTCAGCAAAAGTCCAGGCAGGTTTGAAAAAGGCATGTGCAAAGCTGAATAACTTTGGGGTGGAGCCTGGGAATTGAATCCCATATCCTGAAACTCTTTTCAATTTCTCTGGTCTGGAGTTCAAGAGGGAAACCCCACTTTGGACTCTGGTACAAAGCCCTGGCCAACCATTCTCCACCATTTTTGTTCCTTTTTTCCGCATTTACCGCCACCACTGCATCTTCATTTCCCAAGAAGCCTGCCCAGAGACAACTACCCTTGAGCACAGGGTCTCTCAAGAATAGTGAGGACACATCCATACAGCTCTGGAGAACTGGGTCCAACAGGATACACCTGCCTGTGGTTTGCAGACTCAAACCCCTGCTATGGTACCATCCTAACCTTCCTTTAGGCAGCTGAGGACAACACCAGGCAACAGAAAAGAGCTGGGAGAAAGATTTTAAAAAGTAAAATTACATAAGCTGGGCTGAGGAGACAGGGATTACTGGGAGCTCAAGGATACAGAGGGAAATCAGAAGGTGAAAAGTGCAAAATGCAACAAGAGAAAAACAGGGAGTCTAGCTGGGAACAAGGGGGTCATTGAGCTGCCACTGCCAAGAAATTCTCCTGAATCCAGAGCTAGATAAAACCAGTCACCACAATAAGTCAAAGCCACTTACCTCGTGCTTCTTTGAAGACTTGCAGAGCCTCAGGGTTGACTTTGACCCTCCCCGTGGAGTCAAATTCCAAGGCCTCCACCTTCACCAGGTTCAGGTTGGCTCCAAAGTCAATCAAGAGATGGATGAACGCCGCATCACAGCCGTGCCGCAGGACAGCATCCATCACACACACCGGTGAGCCCCGAGAGAAGCCTTGGATGTTGATCGGCCCACGGCAATTAAAATCTGGGTTGGCTCCAGCCTGGAGCAGCAGCCGGAAGCACTGAAGGTTGTGGTAGGCAGCACTGATGTATAGTGGACAGACCACAAGTGTGGTGAGGGGTCGCAATGAGGGGCTGGAGACTCGAGAAGCGAGGTGGTGATTCACATCCACATCTGCACCATATCTAGAAGGGAGAGTAGTAACCTTTTGGAAACAAGGGCAACATCAGCATGACTAGCAGCCCAGGGACACGAAATGATGAAGGCAGAGGACACAGAGCACCAGCACCATGTGGGATGCCCGTCCTTGGTTCATCTGAGCCCACCACCCATCTTCCACCCATGCTTATCCCCAAAGTACAGAAAAAAAGTCAAGCTAAGGCCACATTGGTTCACAAGAAGTGTCTGCAAATGGACTTAATGCAGTTTCACCCATTTACCTTCAAAGTTAATTTAGGGGACATTTTTGTAATTGCCTCTCTTCCAGGGACAGGCTTAGTACAGAAGCAAGGATGTCATATCCAGCATGGTCTGATCTTCGAGAAGCAAAGCTGTCCTGCTGCCAGAAATAGCCCAGGCTCGAGACAGAGGAGGCTGAGGGACACCTTCCCTCACCCTCCTGAAGGATATGCCAAGCACAGCTTTGGCACAAGGAACAGCTCAGCCCTGAGCCAGCAGCATGGAATGTTGGATGCTAATGGGCTGGCTGGAAAGCAGGGGATGTTTCCAAATGACTCAGTTGAAGAGATGCAGTGAAGTAACTTCCCCACCAGTACAAAACAGGCCAAAAAGCAATACAAGCAATTGATCTGCCTGTCACAAACAGCAGGGAAATGGAAACAGAAATCAGTGCTCAGCAGTGAAACACATATGATAAATCCCGCTCCCAAAGAAACTTGGATGGTTGAAATCCCATCAAAAATCCCATCCGAGTCAAAGAAAGACCTTTTCTCTAGTGTTTATCTCAGCTGATAGGATGTACCCGCCAACTCTAAGCGTGTCAGAAACTAGAACAATATAAAATAAATGTTGTCAGACGTTCTGCTCTCCCCATCCATCCTGCATAGCTCAATTTACAGGTTATATATAATGCGAGACATTGCATAAGAGATTACAGATCACTGGCCAGCACTCTGGGTACTGAAGCAGGGACCTCCAGAAGCTGCAACAGAAAACCTCTCAAGTCTTTTGCAAATGGCTCAAGCTACCGCAAAGGAAAGTCAATACCTCACATATTTGCTACATAGGCTCACGTCTCTCAACTGCTCCATAAGCCCTTTGGCCAAAGCAAGGTAGGTGCCAGCTTGCTGTGGTGTAAAGGAGGGCAAGCAGGCTACAGCCCAGCTCAAAGGAAGTCAGCATCATCATGGTATAGAAAGTAACATCAGTGGAATAACTTTTTTTCTGGGAGTACAGGTGGCTGTAAGTTTGAACAGAAAACAGAACAGAACAGAAAACAGGGCGTATTGGCTTTGAATCTTTTTTTTTTTTTAATGTTGTTGGTGTTTTTTTTGGAGGAAATGAAGGAAACAGCCAAAAAAATGAGAGCAAAAGGGTCAGGTGTCACACTCTAGAAAAACACGGAATTCAAAAAATGGTAATGCAGCACAAATAAGAGACTGCAGAAACAAGCATTGATTTCCCTCAGGCTGGGTAACACCCAAGGAGTGGGACACCATAGCTCCCCATCTGCTTCACGTGCAGCTTGGGCTGGAACAAGAAAGAAGACAATACAATCCCCTGAGGTGTAACCAGTTTTAATCGCAGTATTATAGATCAAGCAAAGCCCTGTTTCTTTCCCACAGGGGAATAAGACATTCCTCCAGTCACCAGACCCCCTCTCAAAATTGCAAATCAAGCATTCAGAGAAATAGATTTTCTGTCTTCCTAGATAGCACACAATACTCCTTTCTGCAGTTAATAAAAAACAAATAAGGAAACCACGTGGGGGCAGATTCTTCCTCACTGCAAGCATGTCTCTTGCTGATCCCAGTAGAGACTGGTCCCTACCCATTAAATTCTTAGCCAAGCACTTCAGAGGATAGGAATAGTCAGGTTGCACGTGAAGACCCCTATGGGTCCTTTCCAACTTGGGACGCTGGATGATTCTACGTCTCATTTAAATTAAGCACATGGAGAACAAGGAAACCTGCCTGAGGTTTCCTGCCTGCCCTGCAAAGGGCATACGAGGTGATTTTACCCTAATGCACAAGATCTCCCAAGCATGAGGATCTTGGCTAAGAGCTCAGGAGATCTATAGGGTGGAGAAAAGCAAGAAAAAATCGGGCAGTAGGATACTGCTGAGTGCCATAACAGCCACAGCACCGAGCTTTGCTTCCCAGTTCACTGCACTTTAATGGGACATTCCCACCTTCTGGAGAATCCCACAGCACTTTGCTGAGTTTGCATCACTTTATGCTTTTCTGAAGTACTGAGAGCAAAATAAGAAAACGTGTCTGTTTTGCACAGGCAATCACACACGCTCCCTATAGATACAGAAATCACTTAAAATCAGACTACGCAAGCATTTGAATGGGATCATTTGTGCTACTATGGGACATTCACAGGATGGCTATGGGGCCACTGCCTTCTGCGGCCATGGTTCTGACCACATAGCAATCTGACTCTCATTTCAGTCTTAATCCCTTCTCATTACTGCCGTCAACATTCTTATTCTCAGTCCCCCACTTCCCCAAAACATGGAATTCTGCTGTTTCAGAGTCAGGTACCTGTCTGAGGCACCGGTGGGATTTGCCAGATTGCTTTTTTGCTGCTTTCAGCGCAGCAGAAGGACCTTCTCATCCAGAGGTCATCCCTCAGTTGTGCTGGAAATACAGTACGATGGTCGATCCCATAACAAGCTGTTAGGAAAGTAATCTATACCTTGGAAATGGAACTGCAAATATTTCTGCCAGTTGTCTTATAGAATGGATCTCCATTCCACAGCTATGTGTGTATTTACTATTAGAGTGGATATGATTTCAATTATTGCTTGCTTAGCTGGTACAGCAATTGTGGCAGGATTCAGGGATCCTGATTGTGCTGCTTTATGATTACGAAAATTGAACCAGGTGATGTTTGGACACCTGCAGCAAGCTTGACTGGTTGGGCTTTCATTTCAGAACACTGAGACTCTGTCAAGTTGAATATTCTGAAATATTTTCTCATATCTCAGTAAAAGCGTCTTCCTCGTTGCATTTCTTCTGCTAAATCCTTCAGAGCAACATTTCTAAAAATCTCTGAGTGAGCTTTGTAACATAAGAGTGCATTTTAAAGCAAGCAACTCTGAAGAGATCTATGAAATCCGTACTCAGAGATAGTTGAAATTTTGGGCAATCTGACAATTTAGTATTAGCTTAGCAGCCCTGGGAGAGACATCATCTAATAAAAAGGCATTGGACAAACTCCAGTTAATTTTTAATCCTGAAAGTTTTCCAAAATCTTGCTTTTAATATTGCTGGCAAGGTATCCCAAGAAGCAGACGTATAAATCAATGCATCAGCTCTCCATGTGCTGAAATACCATTTGCTACATTTCACCCTGCCTTAGTGGACATCAGGGGAGGCTCTGGGGAATGCAATACTTATGCTGAGCCCCGTACCAGCAAGCACGTGGCAATGCGACATCTTTCTCTCAGTCTGCAGGAGTGGGAACAGTTTCCCCCCTTCTTTCTACTTCTCAGCTTCCTTAAAGCTGCACTGTGTGAAAATTAATTTGCCCGCAAGCAAAACTCCTTTCTGCTGTTATTTGCTAGCAGTTACAGCCATTGAAGGGATTCCTTGGAGAGTGTTTCTCTGTGAATCCAAATAAACTTTCTGTTCTTTTACTACCCCTTTCTACAACCTGTATTTCCCCCCTATAATCCACTATTATTTGGCATCAAAGGCTCATATAGTTGCTCAGCATGGTCCCTTGTACAAACAGCTTCCAATTTAGAAGACAGGAAGTATCACGGCATGCCAAAGGAAGGAAACTCAAGCTTACACAGCCTTCTGCTGGACCCTGAGCCCACTCCCTGCTGGCGTGGTGCATGGCGAGTGTCCTACTGATGGGCACGTGCCTGGCAGCCAAGAACAGACTGTGCTGCCTTTGTTCCCAAGGACAGAATGTGTTCAGAGCAGCAGAACTAAGCAAAGATGCTTTCTGGTTGTCTGGGTGATCCATGCCATGAGCAATAGGAGTGCGGAGCTGGCCACTGGGCAGTAGTAACAGGAGCCAAGCAGTCGAGACAGAAGCTGAGGGGAAGATGGCCTGCAAGACTGAATAGTGGATGGTGGACACAGAAACAGGATCTGTCACCAGGCCCAAACAAAGGGAAAGACACCTAACACCCTTTTAGGAACTTCTCCGGACAGCACTCCTCTTGCCCAGCTGTGCCAAGCAGGCAGGTGAGGAGCGAACGGATACCCCAGCCGCATAATGGAAAGATCCAAGGGAAGAAGAAAAGCAAGGCAAAGCCATTCTCCACCCCATTGGGATCAACTCCAGGGCATATTTCTCACCTGATCAGCTCCTGGAGGATGTCTGCCCGGCCCACACGCGCTGCATGGTAGACAGGTGTGCTGCGATGGTGCCGGCTGCCGTTGGGGTCGGCTCCAGCTTCCAGCAGGATCTTGGCACACTCGAGGTGCCCGTTGACCACAGCCACGTAGAGGGCGGTCTGCCCCTTCACATCCACCAGGTCGATCTCAGCCCCTTTCTGGAGGAGGAAGTCGACACAGGGGCCGTGGCCAGCAGTGGCAGCAATGCGCAGAGGAGTGCAGGGCAGCCAGCCGCAGCACCACACCGACTTCTCATTGATCCGGCTAGTGAGAAACACGGGGTCAAGAGGTCTCCGGTCACCTTCTGCCACCCCACCTGCCCCAGCCCCACAGGACAGCACAAACAGCACCCTCCACATTTTGGGGGCTTTACAGCAGCTCTGAAAAGCTCCTGCCGATAGCCTGTCTCCATTGCAGCAGGCTGTGGCAGATACGGCATGCCTGGACTATGGGCTCTAGTGCAGCACTGCTGTATCAGGAACTGCTCGTATGCACAATGAGGGACAAACTCTTCCTTAAAACTCAGCTAAATGACCAAAGAAACCCTTCCCTCTACTCCCTTTCCATGGGGAGATGACCCCACTAGAAGTGACTGAGCCAGGGACCAAAACTGCTTAATTAAAGCTGCTTCAAAAGTGGCAGAAGGTTGACAAAGCAGCAGGAAAACAGAAGAGAACTACAGGAGGAGAAACGCGTGGAAACTCAGGTATAAACCTCTATCACACTGCTGGCATGTCCACAAACTCAGCCTGGCACCATACAATGACATAAACGCAAATCCATGGAAGCTCAAAAGCGTGCAAACACTGCCCTGGCAGCAAGAAAGGAGCTGGCTTGGAGAGAGATGCCACGTTAAACAGAACAGCAGAAGTAGATCATCGGCATCATTGTTAGCCTATTGTCCAGAAGAGCTTTATTCAAATTGTATAAGACTTGTCTGGCAGGAAGCTGCTTGGATCCCCTCTGAAATTACTTGTACTACTTGTCACACTCAGTACAGTAATCCAGATCTGGTTAGACCCATATGTCTCAAATATCCAGGCCTCAGTCCCCAACTCCCTGTAAATCCCTGCAAGTACTCTTTTAGAAGCAATGTGCCAACAGAAAGTGATTTCTTCAAGACCAATGCATGCTGGCTGAAGTGCCCTTTAGCCAGAGTGGTGGTGGATTTGCTCTTCTAGCTCACTCTGTCCTGGCCTCTGTAACAAGAACAGGACAGAACACTTTTCATACACTGCACTTAAGGGAACCTGCTAAGAGAGCAATGCCACAACCTTTTTTTTCTTCAAACATGTTTTCGGAAGAGGAGTAAAAGAAACCCTGTAGAAGTGCTCTTTAGCAGGTTTGGGCATCTCCACCCTACACCCAGTAGTGGTGGTGATGGGTCAACAGATGGACTTGTTCATCCTAGAGGTCTTTTCCACTCTTAATGATTCAGTGACTGCATTCAAAGACAACACTTTTCTGTTCACTCCACCACCTGTGTGATGGTGTTGCAGGTCCTGTCAATCTTTGCTGTTTCATGCAGAAACCTGGGTCAGATCACTGTCTTGAAGGGCTGCCTGGTCCTGCAGCACAGTAAAAAAAGAAGGCAAAATCTCAGACCAAGGGACCAGAGGCCCAGCAGAGCTGTCTAGGTACAGAAAAAGGGGTTGGCTCATTCTCAATTTTTGCTGAAATGACAGTTTCTAAGGCAAGTAAACATTGTGCACTCTAAGCATTTTTCTCCATATTGCAGGAAAATTAATTAACTATCCCCATGGTCAGAGACTAAGCAGTGGGTAGATTTTGTAACATAGGGTGTTTCAGGTTTACAACTGATTATAACCCCTTTTGTATGTTTTTCTCATTATATGTAGACTCTTATTTTCATGGTATTGTATTTCCATCATGATCCAAAAAGAGTTTGTGCATGGACAACGCAAGTTCACAGAGTGGCCTGAGATTTGCCTCCAGTGAGACTAACACGGGGTTGATTTCAGGTGTGAGCAGAGCAGCCTCCCACCAGACAGCTCCTGTAGAAACAGAGCACAGCACTTCTGTCAGTGGGAAAGGTGTTCAAAAGGAGCAGGCTGTGGGGAGGAGGGAGAGAATCACAGAATCACAAGGGTTGTAAAAGACCTTCAAGAGCATCCAGTCCAATCATCCACCCATCACTAATAGTATTCACTAAACCACGTCCCTCAACACAAAATCCAACCGTTCCTTGAACATCTTCAGGGTTGGAGACTCTACCACCTCCCTGGGCAGCCCATTCCAGTGCTTGACCACTCTTTAGGAAAAATTCCACCCTAATATCCCCTGGTGCAGATTGAAGCCATTCCCTCTAGTTCTATCACCAGTTATACAAGAGAAGAGGCCGGCCCCCGCTCACTACAACCTCTCTTCAGGTAGTTATAGAGAGCAATGAGGTCTCTCCTGAGCCTCCTCTTCTCCAGGCTGAACATTCCCAGCTCCTTCAGCCACTCCTCATATGGCCTGTGTTCCAGACCCCTCACCAGCTTTGTTGCCTTTCTTTGAACCCACTCCAGGGCCTCAATGTCTTTCTTGCACTGAGGGGCCCAAAACTGGACACAGTACTTGAGGTGCAGCCTCACCAGAGCTGAGTACAGGGGTACAATCACTGCCCTGTTCCTGCTTGCAACACTGTTCCTGATGCAAGCCAGGATGCCATTGGCCTTCTTGGCCACCCGGGCACACTGCTGGCTCATGTTCAGCCGAGCATCAATCAATACCCCCAGGCCCATTTCCTCTACACAGTCTTCCAGTCAGTCTGCTCCAAGCCTGCAGCCTTGCCTGGGTTTGTTGTGGCCAAAGTGCAGGACCAGGAGGGTCATAGAATCGTAGAATCATTCATGTTGGAAAAGACCTCTAAGATCACCAAGTCCAACCCACCATGCCCGCTAACTACGTGTCTCAGTGCCACATCCCCACAGGTCTGGAACACCTCCATGGACAGCAACCCCATCGCCTTCGTGAGCAGCTGTGAAGAAACTGTTCCTAATATCCAAACTGAACCTCCTCTGGAGCAACTTGAGGCCACCAGCTCTCCTCCTACCCCTGCTATCTGGGAGAAGAGCCCGACCCCACCTCACCACAACCTCTTTGCAGGCAGCTGCAGAGCGATGAGGTCTCCCCTGAGCCTCCTCTCCTCCACACTGAACAACCCCAGTTCCCTCAGCCGCTCCCCATCAGACCCGTGCTGCAGACCATCACAGCTCCGTTGCCCTTCTCTGTGCACGCTCCAGGTCTCAGCGTCTTTCCCTCAGCACCTCCTCACCTCTGGAAGCTCTCCTCCTCCAGCAAGCTCTTCAACGTGGGCAGATCTCCCACGTAGGCTGCATCGTGGAGCCGGGTGTCCTCGCAGTGCTCCAGGGGGTGGTCGCAGAACTGCTCCCGCAGCCACTCCTTCAGATTCCGACCTGCGCTGGAGAGAGGGGCGTTGGGCTGAGCGCCGCGGCGGGCGGCTGCTCGGATTCCGGACCCCCGCAGCTTCCGAGCTTCCCCGCGGCCGCCCCGCGGCTCTCCCCCGCCTCACGTTACCTGCGGGCCCGCCCGGAGCGCCCAGGGCGCCCGCCGCTTCCCCCGGGGCGGCCCCGCCGCCGGCAGGACTGCCCTCGGCCATCCGCCCGCAGGCAGCCGGCTCACATCGCGGCCTCCTCTCCGCCGCCGCCGCGGCCCTCCCTTCCCCAGCCCGGCCTGATTGGTGCCCGCCGCCGCTTCCTGCCTCCGCGTTAAGGTGGTTTTCCCCGGCCGGAGGAGGCGGCTCTCAGCGAGCGATTCCTCCTTCAGAACCGCTCGGCTCGGCCCGGCCGGCAATCCGGAGCTCCTCGTGGAGCTGCGCCGCGTATTGCACCTGGGTCGTGGCATCGGTGCAAGCTGGGGGGTGTAAGGATGGAGCGCAGCCCTGCCGAAATGGACCTGGGGGTGCTGGTGGATGGCAGCTGGACGTGAGCCACCGCTGTGCCCTCACAGCGCAAAGCCAGCCTGGTTTGCATCATGTCTATGCATCGTGATGCCTGAGCGGCATCAAAAGCAGTGTGGAGAGAGGGGATCTGCCCCTCTGTGCTGTGAGACCTCACCTGCAGCACTGCGTCCAGATGGGGAGCCCTGAGTACAGGAGAGATGTGCATCTGTTAGAGCATGTCCGGGGAAGGGCCACAGAAATGCTCCACTTTGCCTCAGAGCACAGGCTGAGAGAGCTGTTGGCTGTTCAGCATGGAGAAGAGAAGCTGCGAGGAGACCTGACAGATCTTTCGGTATCTAAAGGAACTAGAAGCTACAGGAAAGGAGATAGTCTCTTTAGCTGGGTCTGTTGTGACCGGAAAATGGCTTCAAACTAAAAGAGGGGAGATATGGACTGGATATAAGGAAGAAATTTTTTACAGTAAGGGTAGTAAAGCACTGGCACAGGTTGCCCAGAGAGCTGGTGGATGTCCTGTTCTTGGAGGCACCCAAGATCAGACTGGATGGGCTCTGAGCACCTGATTGTGCTGTAGCTGTCCCTGTTCATCACAGGGGATTTGAGCCAGATAATATGCAAAGGTCCCTTCCAATTCAAACAATTCCGTGATTGGCTGTGAGGAGCTCAGCAGGACGAAGCTCTGGGCTGAGGGAGTCTGTGAGGTTTGTCTTCTGCCAGCTCATCATCATCAGCCAAAATGTCCTTTGGTCCATTCCCCACAGCACCATGGATCCAAGCCCTGGTTGCTTCTCAAGTTTCTTTCCAAAAGCACAGAGCTCATTTGTTGGTGCACGGATCTGGGCACTCCTACTTCCAGAAGAGATGTGCTGGAAACAGGCAGTGCCATCACTGTTCAGCCCTTAGCCACCACCCGCAGCTCAGGGGGTAGAAGCTGCTCCGGTGGGCTGCAGGATCTTTCTTAGGTTAAACAAGGTCTACCCATCACTCAAACTGCAGAGAGAGTTCTGTGCAATCATATTTCCCTGTTTTTCCCTGCAGCATGGCTCCCTGTGTCTCCTGCTGTTGGGGAGAGAGGAGCTGTGCTGAGGATGGATGGAGGTGGCTGTCAGCAAAAAGGCAAGCCATGAAGACGTGACCAGGAAATCTGCAGGAACAGGCTCTGACCAAAAATCTGCTACTGTGTGTAACCCCCGCCCCCCAGGTATTTGCAAGTACAGAGCTCAAAGGTGCACCCTTAGAAGGGAGCAGAGGGCTTGTAGGGTGCCCATACAGGCACAGCACTTTGGAAGTGCAGTTGATGTAGCAAGATATGCAGAGGTGCAAAAGGTTTGCAAGGAATGTGGCTCTCATCAAGACCAGCTTCCTCCGAGGGCAGTTGTTGGAGCAACTCCTTGTGGACCGCAGCCACTCTCTGAGTGCTGGAAACACATTTGCCTGCACATCTGAATTCCCAGTGCCAGAGGGAGTGGTGGTAATCCATCTGGCTTTCCTCGATTTCCACTCTTGCTTCTCTGTGACAGGGCATCAGTCCACAAATGCCAGACTGGCTGCAAATAAGGTTTCCTGTAACTATTTGGGCAGGAGTAATGCAGGGGAGAGATGTGCAATCTGCAAATCAAACCAGTTTGCCTTGCCTAGTAAAAGATCCGAAGGGGAAAGGAATGGATGGGATTTTCAGAAGCCAGTGATGCTGGCCAGTACTGCCACCTTCCCCTGCTGCAGTCCTTATGCCATTAGACAAGACAGATGTGAGGCCAAGGAACATCCCTAGAATTAATTGGCTGCTGGTCTGGAAATGTGACTCAACGCCTGCTGGGATCTCTTTGAGTCAAAGGGATGAGATCTGGAAACCAGACACAAGGGCTAGGTGGAGCTCAAAATCCACCTTAGATGTACATCTCAGTTCCCTATAGCTATGCCTGATAATAGCACAAGACAGACCAGAGCAGCATGCTAGCTGTCATGTTTGCTGTCACCACAGATTTGGTGGGGCTAGATTTAACGAGCTCCCCAGCTACAGACCATTGTGCTGGACTGCTGGCCAGAGGTGGGGTCCCATCCAGAGCAAAAAGGCACATCGGTCTGTAGGCTTTTATATGCATGGCCTCAGTCCAAAAGCTGTAACACTGTGTGCACAAGGGAACAGTTACTGCAAGGGACAGAAACCTTGGTACTTCAGTGTCTTCCTATCAAGAACATGATGCCACCTTTCAAGGCACGTAAGGAGAGGCCTTGTCAGCACAACTTTAGAGATTTGTTTTTTGGCTGTGTCATTTGGAGCTTTTTCCTCTTCTGTCATGGGTACAGCGTAGACAGGAAATAAAAGGAAGCAGAGGGCACAGCAGTGTTTACTTGCAGTATGTTGTCCCCATGGGCAAAGCAGAGCGCCACAGAAGCACAGAGTGGCTGGTAAATAGAACAGGCAAAGCTGGAAAGGAAGTGTCTGGTCTGCTCATGATTCTGGGCTCTCAGTTCTTGCAGAAAATGCTTCCTGTTTAACCATTCACTTCTCTCATATCCACATATTTATATATGATTTTATGTATTTACATGAAATCCAACCCATCCCAAGAAGACCTAACTGATTCTCATTGGGAGGTAGTAGAAAGGGGGTGACTGTAATTGCTGCCCAGTCTTGGGGATGGCCAGTACAGGGAACCTGTAGGTGCCTTGCCAAACTGCTGTGCAGAAATACAAGCTGATGTAAATCTGTATCACTAAGTGAGTGCAATGGAAAAATGCACCTTTTGCAAATATGTTAGCATTGGTACAAGACCTAAGAAATGCCTTTTCCAAGGTTGGAGAAATAATTTTAAATCCAGAATAGCTGACTACTCTGACCAGATGTATCTGTTAAAAGCTGAAGGGATAGGCGGTGGGCACCCTGGCTGCTCTTCCAGCCTGTCGCACCAGGAGGCTGGATAAGCCCAGCTTCAGAGCTCAAGCATATACACAGTTATCTTCTATTCCCAGTACATAGCTGGGAGCCTGCAGCATGGTCAGCAGCTTGAAAGGGAAGATCCCAGTGGAGAAGCAGAGTGCAGGACTTCCTATCACAACATTCACCATCAGAGCATGCTAGAGTGTCTGCCTTCCAGCTGTGCTCCTGAGGTGCGTGGCTTATTTTTAAAGGCTGCAAAAGGCACTGGACTGAGTAGCTCCTTTGGAGTCAGGCTTTGCTAGCTCGCTCTCTTGGGGCATGTAACTTCTTGAAACCTGCCATGGCCAGGCCTACTGGCAGCCAGGGCACAAGCTCCCTTCCCCCACCTTTGCTCCATGGCTGGCAGTCTGGCAATTCATTCTCTGTGGGCACCATTTTGCATCACTGCACTGATCCCAGGCCATTTGAAACCAGATCCACCCAGCAAGTGGGACCTGTTACTTTCTCAAGGACAGCTGCCAGGATCTAAAAATACCAATCCAGCACAGCAGACACACGCCTGGATCATTAGACAAGGCTTTTCTCCAGCTCCTGACACTGAAACAGTGAAAAACTAAAAAATGTCTACATGCAAAGAAAGCACCTTCTGAGGAATCCTCAGCCGTGGGCAGGTAGCTCAGCCACACCAACACGAAAAAGAACGAGGAGAGGAGAGGAGAGGAGAGGAGAGGAGAGGAGAGGACAGGGGA